CAAAACAACAAGAACATTCAAAAGATAGTTCACATATCCAGATAACAGGTCACCTTCCTGAACACTGCATACCCACACAACAGGTCACTTTCCTGAATGCCACATACCCAGACAACAGGTCACCTTCCTGAACTTTGAATACTGTTATACTCTGTTGCAAATTAGATCTCTTTCTGATTCATTCTGCATACTGGCCAGATGTAAATGCCACAAAGTTGATTTCTGCACATAGGCTCAACATATCGCATTCGGTCAACAATGCAGGCTCCGGAAGTGGCCAATCATGAACGTTCCCACCAGAAAAAGAGATGCCTGCTGGAGACTACGAAACCTGCCTAAAAGCAGACCCCCAAGAATGACCAAATCAGTGGAGGGCTAGCAGGCCACCGGTTGTCACTTAGGGTACTGCTGCTGTTGCCATCACTACTATGACCTCCTTACCATGACAACCACTGTTGTGAACCACTAGCTGGCATGCAAGGAACTGCTGCTGCTGCCACCTCTGTCACTGTAACCTCTCAACATGACTGCTCCTCTCACCGACCATTGCCACTGCAAGGCTTGACTAGCCATTTCAGCTGTCCAGCTTCAGCATGACAACAACAATGTCTTCTGACTCTTAACATTCACAACCTATGCATTGGCAAATTCAGATTCATGACTTCTCCTGACTACTCACACTCACATATCATAGTCATATGCGTGAATTTGCTAACCACTCCAGGACATCACCTCGGCAACCCACTGCAGTCACCTCGGCATAACCAATATATACAAGGCATTCACTTGCAGCCATCACTGCAGCCCCATTCCACAGAACAGTCTTACCAACTCTGCAACCAATCTACTACCGCAAACAGCAACCGACTCCACAACCAAGTGACTCCAACTCCACTAGCATGCGACTGACTCCACAAGCATGCAACCCACTTGACCTACCACTTTGACATCAATTCACCAACATATGTGAGGCCATTCCATAGAACAAGCCTACCAACTTTAACACCTCACCAACCCAATGCCACCATCTTGGCATAACCAACACATACACTGACCATATCTTGTGACCTCAGCCAGCACAAAAAAGAGGTCAACCCCCGGCTTTTCTCTTCACCCTGATCATCATCCTGACAATATACCAGAAATTGACATTCCATCTATTTTGCGATATCTGTACGACACTGTGTCTATACTAACAATAAATATTGTTCAAATTCTAATCTTTGTTATTCCTTTCCCTCATGACCAAGAGCTTAATATAACAATACCCACACAACAGATCACCTTCCTGAACGTTGCACACAACAGACAACGGGTCACCTTCCTGAACGTTGCACACAACAGACAACGGGTCACCTTACTGAACGTTGCACACAACAGACAATGGGTCACCTTCCTGAACGGTGCACACAGAAGACAACGGGTCACCTTCCTGAACGGTGCACACAGAAGACAACGGGTCACCTTCCTGAACGGTGCACACAGAAGACAGCGGGTCACCTTCCTGAACGGTGCACACAGAAGACAACAGGTCACCTTCCTGAACATCAAATAATAGGTCCCATTCCTGAACATCACATATTGAGACAATAGGTTACATTCCTGAACACTGCATACTCAGACAACAAGTTACCTTCCAGAACTTCACATACCCAGAAAACTAGTCACCTTCCTAAACATCATATATCTAAACAATAAGTGATGGATAAAATTAACTCAGATTGTCTTATCAACTGAGGAAAATAAAAGTTACATATAAAACAAAATTTTGAAAGTTTTGACAAATTTGATAAATAAACTGATATGTAAATTGATTGAAAAAAATTCTACTTAGTCTAAAAGAATATTGTTAGTTTCAATACGGTATAGAAGGACTACAAATACATTCCTACTCCACAAATTTATAGACAAAACATACAGATGCACACTGGCATTCCTTCCTAACCAATAAGTCTCATCCGAGTTAGTTCTGTTCTTTCTTGTCTTGAAGTCAGAACACTGCAATTGCTTGTCTGTATCCCTTTTGTGTGTTAACACCATTCTTAGTTTGTGAACTTTTTGCCTCATTACTATTACTTTGCCTAATTTTGTCTTGCATTTATTGTTTGCTTAGCATTATTATTTTTGCCCTGCCCTTTTCTTTCTTTTGTTATTGTTTTGTCAATTCTGTTTGTTGGTTCCTTTCTGCCAATTACATTCAGTTCTTTCTTCTTTTTTAAATAGAGACTGAATACACAATTGAAAATAATTTTTTTCTTCTAACTTCTTTTGCAAACCCCTAATAATTTTTACTAATTTAAATGTCTTCCTTAAAAAACATTCAATATCTTTATATAAAATCTTTTATGAAAATAGTATGCAAAAAAGACCAAACATCTTCAAAGTTTTCTTTTTAATCTTTATGCAACTAATGCTTTGGATGTTGGAAAGAATGGTATTTTTAGTAATGGAAATTGCTAAGAATATTATCCTTTCCACCAAAAATTTCATTCAAAAAGTGAGGCCCATATCTGATCCAATTCATACGACATATTCAGATGTGAAAAAAAATAGTATAAGATGACAAAAATAAAAGGAAACATATTCAGATGAGAAAAGGAAAATATAAAATAGAATAAGGCAATAAAAATAAAAGGCCATCTATATCTAAAATTCTCAAAATGTGTGTGTGTGATGGGGTGTTGTTTATGCATTTCCACAGTTTTCATCCGATTTTGATGAATTTTTTTTTGTTGGATAGGTAATACTTCAGTGCCGGTTTTAAGTCCAAATTACACATTCCTCTTCTCTTGACCAAGCATTCAATCTCTCTCAAGTGAGGTTACCTTTTTCTGTTGTATAAAGCCTACTACTACAGTTTTAAGGTGTTGCTTTCATTGTCATTTATAGCTGTTCCCAATTTAAATTTTTTTTATTGTCCTGCCAGTTTTTGCATTGCATTCACTGTAGTAATAAATAAACTTGCCTTTTTATTACTCAACATTTATTTTTCCAACCTTTCCTAAAGTTATTCGAGCTTAGTGATCCCTGTAGCTTTACAGCATTCTCTTCTGGTATTTGCCCATGCATTCCATTTGACAATTCATATTTACCTAAGATATGCCACCAAAAGAAAAGAACTTTCCTAGGTCACAAAACCACTGCCGCTATGTCCGCCATGCGAATAGGAGACAATGAATCATCATTAGAACATTCAGTTTGCCTGTCTCAAAATGTCTCTTGGAATGCTTCAACCAGAGCCACTGAGTCCGAAGATCAATGTAGTCATCAGCTTTCCAGAAGAGCATATCGGAATGCTTCTGCACACAAGGCTGAAAATGATGATCAAAGGACTCAATGGCTGAGGAGAAACAACTCTTCAACTGCTGCTGTGCATGAGGCTGAAACAAGATTGAGAACACAAAAACAGCCCTTTTCAGGGCCACCCCCACTATTCAAATTGTTAACCCTTCATTTGGGGATGTGCCTGAGTTGCACCCAATTGTTATTATTAATATTGATTTTCAGGTGGGCTGACTTTAAACTTAAACTGCTCCAATTGAACAGTAAAAATTCCCAGTAATGAAAGGCATGGTCAAAGACAGGTTATACAGCTAGTTACTCAATATGGAAACATATTCAGATGAGAAAAAGACAATATAAAATAGAATAAGATGACAAAAATGAAAGTCTTTTACTCAATATGGAAATATTCAGATAAAAAAAGGAAAATATGAAATAGAATAAAACAACAAAAATAAAAAGCCTTTACTCAATATGGAAACATATTCAGATGAGAAAAGGAGAATAAAAAGGCCTTTACTCAATATGGAAACATTCAGATGAAAAAAGGAAAATATGAATGTAAATAGTGGAAAATATGAAATAGAATAAGAAGACAAAAATAAAAGGCTTTTACTTAATATAGAAACATTCAAATGAGAAAAGGAAAAAATACAAAATAGAACAAGAAGACAAAAATAAATATGATCACATGCAAAACAGTGAGCAAGAAATGGTAAAATTGTTTTTGATAATTCTTCATAGGGTATTCTTTTTTCTAAAATAAAAACCTGAAATAAAAATAATCTTCATCATCATTTAAGGAAAAAACATTTAGATTATAAACTCTTTTAAATCCTCTCAGCAACTTAAAGTCTGGAGATCAAATTTGAATATTTTTTTCTAAAATGATTTGTTTATTTTCATCTGAAAAATAAAGGTAAGAACATTAGCTTCTTTTTTCATTCTCATATTTGTTATGTAATGTTTTTACCTTCACCATAGTGCTTTATTTTGAATAATTCATCAAATGTTTTTTTGTCCGTTATGGAAGTTCAGATCATATTAGGTTTTTTGAAAATTTTACAACTTTTAAGTTTTTATCAAGAGACTTGACTCTTTCTTTGTGTCCAAACCAAAACTCTAGCTTTTTGTTTAACCATACATCTAGCTAAAAATTCACCAAAATTATGACCTTTTTCCATTTTTTCCTGGTTACCATAAAATCAAGATTACAAAAAAGTCATTATATTGTTGTGCCTACATTTGTAATATAAGCAACTGCCAGTAGAAGCATTAACATCTAGATCTTTATTACAAATCCTCATTAAACCACAGATCTGCAGATTATGCTGCAATAAAACCCAAATAAAAAATATAGGTACTTGATATCTTTTGTGAAATCTCCTCAGATATTTTGATTAAATATAATCCAAGTGTTCATGATGGTAATATCTTTTCAATAATATTTTGATTTGTTTTTTTATGGCTTATCAAACTTTTACAGGTTATTTAAAGCCAGAAAATATTTTTTTTAAATTGTAAGAATATTTTGGAAATAATAATGATTTACTGATACAAGTCCTACTAATTAAGCCCATAGCTGTGGGAAGATGAGGTGGATTCATACCTTTCCCAGGGTATTTGCATGTAAGTGAATATAACAAACATAACTGGAATTGGAATTCAGCTTACCAATTAAAAAAACCGTTATCCATTTCACCAACCACACATCCAAGCTTACAGTATCTGGTATTCCCAAGTGGTCATCCATCAAAGTACTGGCCAGGTTCAACATTGCTTAACTTCAGTGGTTGTACAAGAACCAGTGTTTTAACATGATATAACTGTAAGCCTTCTTTTCAATAACTATATCATTCAAATCCATGATTTGTTATGGAGACCAAAGTGCAGGAATTCTGTATTAGAGAGTCATTTATTCTAGAACGATTCATCTGTACAGATGGGTTCTGCTTCAATACACCCTGTAGTTTTGAGTCATGGCTAAGGTAACCCATCTGAAAAATTGATCCTTGGGATTCATTGGACAAAAGTTCAGCCTAGACTATTTTTGTTTCTACAAATCTAACAGGACTATTACAAATGTCTTACAACATCAATATAATAAATACACTGCATCTCACATAATTAGTCATTTCAGGTTCTATCAATATATAAAATAAAAACTTATTGGTATCAGATAGTTCATTTACTGAATGAGAGTAGCACCCATCTCTACAAGTGAAATCAAAATTGATTTGTTCTACAACCATTTGTATGAAATATACTGAATTTTTAAAACTCAAATTAATAGTTATGTTGTGAGGTTGAAAACATAAAAAAACGTAAGGATGAGTTGACATATAAAAAGAAATTTTTAAGTTCAGGCAAAAGGTAAAACAACATTGGCATTTGCAAAAATGGTCAGCAGATATCACCAAATTGTAAAGAAGTTCACTGATGATCGAAAAAAAAATGCTAATGATAAGCACAAACGAGAAAGTGTTTAAAGGCACAAAATGTCAGGTCCTAAATCAAGTGGTAAAACTTGTCAAGAGTGATCAATAAACCTTTATATTTCAATTGTTCTTTTCTTTTCAAATGTTGTGCTACTTATGATTTACCAAACAAAGATCAAGCATATACAGGTTGATTACTCAGGGAAAGTTCCTTCAGAAGTTGAGACATCAGCAAAGGTAGAGAGATAGTGTGATGCTTTGGCATGGAATTATAAATTAGAAAGTAGGGAACCCATGGCATGGCAAATTCCAAATGGTGTTTAAAATAAAAGTTCAAGTATATAATCTATATAAATAAAGTGCAGTGTACATGTGTACTATTTTTTTTATCTTGGCAAATAAACAACCTGGAGTTAACGGGTACTAACTACTGTAATTACACATGATTAAAAATTACATAAATAACTCATTTAAACTTAAATATCAAACAAAGTGAAAGGTTTAAAAAATAACTCTTTATTAAAGGTTTAACTTTAATTTTGCTTTTCGTCACAATTAGAATAGATATCATCTACTTAAACCGTGACTAACAATTAAGCAGGGTACAGTACATTGCTCATATGTTTTTTTTTAATCTTTTTAGCACACATACTGTGACCTTTGAAAATTATTATATATATATATATATATATATATATATATATATATATATATATATATATATAATAAAGTCATCTAAAATATAATATGATAGATTAATTAACAACTTAAAATGTATTACCAGGTATGTCTAGTACGTCTAGTTACTGGGTAAGTTTTGGAATGGAAATTAGAAAAAAATGCATGGTTAACATCTGGTTCATTTCTATTAATATTGCAAAAAATATGTATAACATTGAGATTTTAATGGATAATATGGTACAACTTTTCAAAAAGAAATTAGATAGGAATGGCTGTACTACGTGGTCCTATTATACTCAATGATATCGTTTATTTCCTGTTTTTAGCTTCACAAGAAAATACAGTACATTACCCTAGTAAATAATGTCAAACTTGGAAAATTTGGTAAAATTTATAAAACTATTGTCATATTGTAAGAGGTTTAGTGTACTGTAATTCATACATATTATGTAAAATGTTTTGCACATTAATATTTGAAATGTTTCCATAAATGTCTTCATTAGTATTCTAAAATTTAGGATAAAGTAATAAAAGTGGTTATTAATACGAGATGAAATGCAAGTAATTATTTAAAATAATAAAATATGCATAACATAGGAATTATTCCTTCACACTGAATTGTTTTTCTTTTCTACATTCACAAACACACTGGCTAGTTCATGTGTAGTTTTTTGAATATTCTATACAGATTCAAAAAACAATTCATTAAAACAGTTTCCTTCCTTGACAATAATGATAACTAAACTTTTGACTTACCTTGTGTTTACTTCTTTCCACTTTTTAGACCCTCGATCAATAGCAGTGATAACAAGAAATTTTTGCAGTTCTACCATTTCATTGAGAGTATTTGATGTAACAACTGGATATCCAGTGTAGCGTTCCTGTGTCACCCAACTATCAACTTCAGAAAATCGAGATTCTCCTGAAAAGAAAACAGGGCAGTCAATTATAATCTACAATTATATCCACTTTTAACTAAAATTTTTTTTCTTTTTTGAGTATATAAAATGACAAACCTAAGGTCTAAATGCCTAGACATTTCAGTTAACCTGTTGAATATTTATGAGCATCTTTAAATTTAAAAATTTCCTTTCAAAGA